TGTAGGTGCAGATCCTCTCCCCTTACCCCAGAGATGCAGAAGGGAACTGATCCACAGCCAAAGGCTCCAGAACTCACATTTTTTGCCCTTTTTAAGCCAGGACTGCACTTTCCTCCCAATAGGTGCCGTGTCCCAGATCTTTGACAGCATCCCTCATGGTCGTTGCGTTACTGTCCTAGCGTGCCAACACCGACCCTCAAACCCTGCTGGCGGCAGGTGAGGAGGAGGAAAAGACATTTAGGGGAGTAATTTCCATCACCCAGTTCTTCAGCAGCAAGCCCCAAGGTAGAAGCAGTCCATCGGCATTTTCTAATTATGCTAACTACCCATAAACTGTGGTGGCAGGGAGGCTTTGCCAACCAGAGAGAGCATGGCCCACCACGGAGATGCCCGAGCCACCACCAAAGGCAGTAGCTAGCCCCAGAATCACTGTCATTAGCATACTACTCCACCTAAGCTAATATATGCTATTTCACCGGAAGGCTAATTAGCCAAAAAACTGCTCTTCTAAGGTATACTGCTTTCCATATGCAAGACAGGGCACTAGAGCTCACTCGGGTACTGCTGCTGAGCATCGCTCTGTGCCACGCAGACATGTCCCCAGTGCCCATCTATCACTTTGGGCTCTTCAAAGTCTCTGCCCTCCTTGTTGATATCTGTATTTTTCCAGCCCAGCAAAGCTATTGTAGAGCGTTTGGATTACAAAGGAATTGGGGGGACCTCTTAGTTATCTAAATAGAGGGCTGAAGTTCAGCCCCGCGAGCCTGGGCCAAGTAATGCAATTTTTATTTCCCCAAAACAGGCTCCTCCACATGTGACAGTCACGTTTTCTGCACAAGAGATACTGTCAGCGCCTTTTAAAAACTTCTGCTTCAATCAGGAACTCCCTTGACTGTCCCTAAAGTACTCTCCAAATTGGCAAATTCTGCCTCTCTTACACTATAAGTACCCAAAAAAAAAAAAAAAAAAAAATAAAATCAAATGGTTGAAAATGTCCTGTTAAATGTGCTAAGTTATAAAAGCAAATGAAGAAACAATAGTCTAAAATCTTTAATTCTACTTCAAAATGTGTAATGCAGAGAGTACCAGATACTCACTAATAAGTTCCACTTAAAAGAAGCTATTTCTGTTGTAATCCTCACCCTCTCATGTTTCTTTTATATTATTCCACCTTAGTCCAATGCGCATTTTGTGCTCTTAGGAACGTTACTTCATTCCTGCTTATAAAAACATCTTCCTTTTCTACCAGGAAGGTAATAATAAAGACATATTGATGTCAGAGGAATAGTAATAATATCCAAAATCCGTATCAAAATTCTCATTGAAATTAATTCCAATTAATTCTAAATCTGACCTCGCTTTGCCGACTGCCAGAGAGAGTCTGGATGCAGATGGACCAAAAGAATTCACATACATCATCAACAAGACCTTCCAGAGGTGTTCCAGGGCAATCTGCTGGCATACGGAGATGCAGGTAACACAGACAACATCAGTAGAAAGGGGATTTTTCTTTTCCCCTGGACTATAGTTTTCCAGCACAAAAGTGGAAACAGATTATATCAAAATTGACTACACTGATTCTATAGAAAAGAAAAAAAACAACAACATTTAGGATTTTGTTTTCATTACAATAGAAAATAAATTGAAATTTAGCCAATGACAATGAAAGTGTGAACTACAATGTATTTAATTCACTGTGTTGTAAAAAACCAGGCTGATACACAGCACATATGGCACATAACATCAGCTACTGGTCTACATCCCTTGCAATACCCATGTGCTATGAAGTGACAGCCTTAACCTGGAGTTTTAGTTTAGATGTGCTCATATGAAGTGACAGCCTTAACCTGGAGTTTTATTTGTCTCCAAGCTTAGATGTGCTCCGATAAGTATTTCTACACCATTTACTTCATCACAATGTGTAAAAAGGAGAATTCCAAGTCAGAAATGACAGAGGATGAGGATACACGGAGTGGCTGTGGCACCACAGGAGGCAATATGGAAGGCAGTCGTTGTCAGAACCAGAAAACAGGAGGATTAGGCCAGTACATTTCTTATTCTGCTAAATCCTCAAATCCTTTCATCTCTTCTCATTGTCAGATAAGGACCACAATCTGGTTCTGTGCTCTGGGAACACCAACACGTGCCCTTATGACAAGTATTTATTCAAAAGAAGAACCTTTATTAAAAAGCACTGATAATTTCCTCTCAAAACTAGAAAAGCAGTGATTAGATAACCATCTGAAATATTTAAAGACACACTGTACATACATATAACAGTACCTCTTATAGTATTCAGAGGTATTTCCAGGGGTATCCTTCATCATTGCACCTTTACTCTCAAGTGATGGTTCACTGCTTGTACTAGTTTGTGTACCCATCACCTACAGTAATTCTATTAAAAGGTAGATCCGTTACAGGATTAACTCATCTGACATGCTCCCTTACTACACTGGTTTTGATCACAAGTCAGATATATTTTCTTTTGCCCTAAAATTGCAATATTAATCTAAAATAACCTTAAAAAGATCACCATCACATGCACGAGGATGATTTCCGAGATCAGCCCTCTCCTGCATCCAAATGAAGATTATGTCTAAGACACAAACACACCCTGAGACGTTCACACGCAAAATAAAAGAGGTCAAAGTAAAGGAAGAAAAAAATAAAAATCATCCTGGTTATTTTGCCCTCAGAATTTTTAAATATTTTCCCAACATCGCAGCAAAATTATGCATTTTAGAAAGACTGCAGGCACTGAAATGATTGTCAGTCATGCAAATAATCACTTACTTACACTGTATGAGTTTGGTTTGGATAAAGCAAATTACCATTTGAAAATAACTTGAAAAACACTCTGGGCGAAGAGCTTGCTTTATAAATTTTAGCTTGGCCGCAATTTTTCTTAACCTTTTTGTCCTCAGTCTCCATTCAGTCACTACAAGTAATACAGTCAAAATTAAAAAACAGCATTCCATTGCCACAGGTGCATTCCAAATTATTTTAAAACATGATCTTGTAAAGAAATAGTAAATACTGGCTGCAGCTGAAGGTCAAAACCCAAAGAACCTCAGAATGATTCAGAAACAGCCCTTTCTTCTGCTTTATTTTCCTTGTAATGATATGATATTCTAAACAAATCCAGATCTTGCATCTTGAGTTAGTTGTTGAATAAAATACGTATTAGAAATACTAGAGCTGATATTGATCTGCCTTTCTAATTACTCTGCTGAGAAAGTTGTGCAGTCACACAGTTCTTTATGAACATCTTAATTTTGTCCAGCACTGCTGGAAATAAGCTGTTCCATATAATTTCAAGTGCAACAAACACGATGGAAATGTGAAAGGTGTCCTGCTTCGGGAGGTGAGACTTAATCTAAGAGCAGGACATTAGAAGAGCACACAGTAAGACAAAGTCTTCCCACTTGACCAGTTTGGGTAGCAAACTGGTCATTTTACCCCCCTAATCACCTTCTGCTTTGGACAAGCGATGACTGAGTGTATGACTTCAGCCTAATTTGTCAGGTCTCGTTTGACCCTATCTGCCAGGGCTTGATAAATCCCAAAGAGCAGATTTAATACATGAGACAGGGTCATCCCAACTCCATCTCCAAAACCAGGCTTGGGCCGCATGATTTCCTAAAGTATGCCAAAAAACCACAAGACTCATTTAAAACGGCTCGGTATCAATATGCTGACCATCCACAGCATTCCCTTGCTCTTGAAAAAGATGGTCTCTGCGAAGCCATAGTAGATCCTCAAAGATACAGAGGTTCTGATCTCCACTGCCATCCAGGCAGCCATGTCCCTGAGGAACATTGGAGGATTTTAACCCACTTGCCAAAAATTTTAAGCTTAAAGACTTAACTGTAGACATTGATTTCTAAATGTTAGTACTTTAGAATAGAAAGTTTTCCAAGATTCTCAAACGCAAACCTGGCAGCATGAACATCAACAGAGTGCACGACCTCAGCTCCGCTACTAAAAATCTCTCCACCCCAAATTACCACAAATGTATATTTAGGCTTTGAAATAAGTGTACGTACAAGCTGGTCAGGGACAGGGATCTCAAGCGTGGGCAGAACTTATTATCAGATCAAAAGGCAGACTCTTGCAGAGTCACTATGGTGCCTTCCATCCTTATTTCAGCAAAAAAATGAAGCCAGCATCGCGCCAGTTTTAAGAGTATAATCAAATTGCAGAATCATACTCTATTTAGTACCGGTCCCACTGAAGCAACGTTCCTGTTCGGTGGGAGGAGAGTCCCTTCTAAGAGGAAAAACAATTGTGCCAGGTTTAATCAAAAGTGAGAAGGATCTCGCCAATGTTCCCTTTGAGCCACATAACCCACCGCTAATTTCAAGACGGGCTCGGAAACGAGGGTAATAAAAAACGTCCTTCAGAGTAACCGAGGGAAGAGGGAAGAAGAGCTAATGCCAACATCTGCAAGTCCCTTCCCTGCTACTGGGATGCTTTTTTGCCTACCTGGGAAGTGATAAAAGAAGAGGTAGGGGAGGGAGGAGGGAATAAAATCTCACCCCAACACACCAGGGGAAATACAGCTTCTGGACTATAGGGTTTTACTCTCCTCTAGCATTTCCATCTCCTCCTTGACCTCCCCTGTACAAATACATAGGGAGTTGAGGAGCCGACAACTCCTAAAAGACCAAAAGCAAGTGGGAAATCACCAAAAACAAGTGGGAAATCACTAAAAACAAGTGGGAAATCACTAAAAACAAGTGGAAAATCACTAAAAACAAGTGGGAAATGGCTAACCCCGAGCGATGCAAGTTTGTACACCAGGCGAAGGACAGGCTCGGCAGATCAGACGCCTCCTGAATAGCCTCTGATTATGGAAATACATTTATCAATTAGGGGATCTTTGCATATTATCAAACTCTTTTCATTAACGATGCTTTAGCTGATTAGTTAGAACGTCACCATAAATAGCGAGTTTTTGACAGGCTGAAGGCAATTTATGACGTGGAAGATGTACTGACCTGCTCACGTCGGGAAACCTGACTGGAAAATAAAGGACTTGGCACTTCGGTCTGATTATTTTTTCCAAATCCTTAGGTCTGTGGTCAGGAATCAGCTTCATAAATTTTCCAATGGATGTAAGAAATGATTCCATATTAAAAGCAGAGTTGAACACCACAACATCAGCAACCAAACTGTAAAAAGCGGTGAAGATTAATGAATGTGCTGCTGCTGCAAAAAGGAAGAGAATTATTTTAAATGCCGTGGAAATAGCATACATCTTTCTCATAAACAAACAAAAGGTGCAAGTGGAACGCTAATTAAAACCAGCTTTTTCACGTGAATTAGGAGTAGCATATGTACCTTAATTAGAAATGTTTTGATTTCTGTCTATTCACTCTTTGAAATTTATTTTTTTTTTAACTAAGTAATACATTATTATTATTAATCTAAACAAGCAGATCCTATTCTATCTGGGAATCACTTTTTATTCACAAAATGGCACAAATAATACTGCTGCCATTATTTCCTACAAACATTATAAACAACAAGGCCCACTGTAATATGGCTTTTGTAGAAGGAAACTTGGAAGAAAATGAAAATTCCCTAGAAATCATCCTACGCACAGAAGGACAACTTACCTTTGGATCAACCCCCTTCGACCGACCAAGGGTGTCAGGTAGAAGGATATTAGAGATATAGAGTGTTATTTTAACCTATATACACATAATCCTGATTAAAAGTATATTCACAATATATATAAACACATATATATACATACAAAAACCACAGCACATGGTACCAAAAAGAAGTTTGAAAAATTTTGGTGTATTAATGCCATGTTTTGTTCCTGAGTGCTGTGTTTTAAATCAACTGGATCGATAATTTTATCATGCAGTGAGATGATAATGTAGGTGGTATTTCTCCACTTGGAGTCAGCCTGGAGAAAACGAGAAGCTATAAAAAAAACAAACAAAAACAAACCCCTGAAATCCCTGGAAGTTTATCCTGGAAGAGCTTACACAACCTTAGCTACGCTGGCAACCCCGCAACGCTCACAGAGGTAAGAAATGCTTTATGGCCGGTTGGTTTTCTCAATATGTTATATATCGTAATACAGACCCACGGGTCACAAGACACATTGAGGACACGCGTCCATAAGTCACCAGGCTGGTGAAAAGTATATTTGAGGTGAGAGGCTGTCATTCATCCTCGCTGCCGTCTCACTGCTGTCTGGCCAAGAGAGAGAACTGACACTGCTCAGCAAAGCAGCCGGAGTCAGCAGGAAAAGCCCCAAAAATGTAACATTAGAGAGAAATAACCCTTTCCAAGCAGGCTGTGGGAGCTGAAATGCCTTCTGGAATCCCACCCTCTTCCCCCTCTATGGCTTTTAACCCCTCGGGCTCCTCGTTTTTGTACAGATGATCTAGTCATTTCATCTGCACTGATGGTCCCCCTGTCCTGGGCACTGGTGAGGCCCCACCTCGAGGCCTGTGTCCAGTTTCGGGCCTCTCACCACAAAAAAAGGCATTGAGGGGCTGGAGCGGGTCCAGAGAAGGGCAACGGAGCTGGTGGGGGGTCTGGAGCACAAGTCTTGTGAGGAGAGGCTGAGGGAGCTGGGGGTGTTCAGCCTGGAGAAAAGGAGGCTGAGGGGAGACCTTCTCGCTCTCTCCAACTCCCTGAAAGGAGGGGGCAGCCAGGGGGGGTCGGTCTCTGCTCCCAAGGAACAGGCCATGGGACAAGAGGAAACAGCCTCAAGTTGCACCAGGGGAGGTTCAGATTGGAGATTAGGGAAAATGTTCACACAGAAAGGGTTATTAAGCCTTGGAATGGGCTGCCCAGGGAAGGGGTGGAGGCACCATCCCTGGAGGTATTGAAAAGACAGGCTGACATAGTGCTCAGTGACATGGTTTAGTGATGGTTTTTTATCAGAGTTAGGTTGATGGTTGGACTAGGTGATCTTAAAGGTCCCTTCCAACCTAGACAATTCTATGATTCTATGATTTACAGATGCCATGAGATGATGTAGGAGCCCAGCATGTGTTTTTGGTGCTCTCTGACACATGGCAAAGGCTCCACCACCATCATAGCTTCTCTTGTGGATGACAGTCTTATCTGACCAACTTTTTCCTAAAGGTTCTGCATATCACTGACAAATTACAAAGATCCTGTCACCTCCATCGTCTGAGCAGCTAAAAGGAAACTCTGGCATCTTTGAAAAATGTGATTTTATCACATTAACTCTGTAGAAACATCAGGGAAGGGAAAAACGTTCTCTTTCTTAATTTCCAAAGAACTAACCTGAAGTGCTTTAATTTTAATCATCTCCAAAATCTCTATGCAAAACGAGAATGATACTTTTCACATTTCTAATGGATTTAGAAGGTGACATTTCTTTGCAGATGACCACCAGGTAGTTACCAACAGCAGAGAGGAGATGACTTCTATCTGCTGTTAAAAATGGGGTTTCTGCAGCAACAACAAGGGAAGATGAATATTATACAATTACATGGAGAAGCTACCGGAGGCTGATGGGCACAGAATGGAGCATCTATAGAAGATTTTTTTTCTTTAAGGCAAAAGAATTTATTTTTATCATAAAAATGCAAGTTTTGAGGATAAATTCATGTCAGCTTACAATAGATGTGTGAAAAATAGCTCCTATGAGAAAGCAAAAATATATACACACAAACAAAATATTTCTTGCCCCAGTGCCAAAACCCACATCTTTTTGTTATAAAATCTGAAAATGGCTGCTACTGTTTTCAAAAGATCTTTCCCTCTACTTTCCCATCTTTACTGCTCAGTAAGTGAACGATGTTGCAAACGCTGTGGCAGAAGCAGCTGCAGAATGGCCAGAGTTTACACAGATCATCACGTGAGAAATTTCAGTGTCAACTGGCTTCTAACATAAGGATGCAAAAGCTTAAGTTGTACTTTAAAATGCTCAATCCCTATTCCTAGTAATTCCCTTCCGAACAGATAGGTGAGAGACATCATGGAAATGAATTTATTTCAGTTCAAAACAACTGAGTTTTGCTGTTTCACTTAGGCTTGTGCAGTGCCTAACCACAAAGCTTTTCAGTGCTGCCGTTATTAACTTCTTTCATTAACTCAGATTCGAGAAATACATTTGTTTTTAGCAACAATAAAGGACCACAGCCTTTAAAACGTCTGGGTATTTTAGCACTGCACAATTTCTGAATACAAGATGAAAGAAATACAAGGATTTATCTGGTATGTTTACTGCCCTCTCTTCGGAAGAAAAGTGCTGCAGTACATTTTAATTTTCTGTTTATTTCCCTAAAACCCTCTATATAATTTCCATTGGATGCAGTAAAAGCTATGGCCGAGCAAGAGCTGATTAGCTGCAGCTTCCCGAAGCGGCTGAGAAACAAAGCATCTCACTTAGGGCCCAGGAGCAGGTCAAAGTCCCCACATGGCAGCCCAAGGTAGCATCAGTGGGCTTTATAGAAGAAATCGAGATGAGTTTGTAGAGCAGATTGTTTCTGCCACAGAGTTTTTATCAACCACTCTTTAGGACTCTGTGGGCACCTCGGTTTGCTACGGGGTCATTGTTTATGGGGAGGATGACCCGTTGGGCTTAGGATGCTGCACGGTTGCAGGCAGAAGAACACCTCAAATAACACAGAGCGGTGCGAGAAAACACCTACCATGAAAGGATCTGGTTGTATCCGTACTGAAAATCCCTTTCCTGGCATTTCTGGACAGGATATGCCAATTGATTCTCCTAGAAGTAGAGGACTTTTAGGGTCATCGTTTATAGGGAGGAGGACCCGTTGGGCTTAGGATGCTGCACGGTTGCAGGCAGAAGAACACCTCAAATAACACAGAGCGGTGCGAGAAAACACCTACCATGAAAGGATCTGGTTGTATCCGTACTGAAAATCCCTTTCCTGGCATTTCTGGACAGGATATGCCAATTGATTCTCGTGGAAGTAGAGGACCTTTTTCAATTTGCCGAGGTCAGGGCGGAGGGCGGCGAGTTCAGCCAGGTTAAGCACCGAGCTTGCAAAGAGGATCCTGGAAAACAAGGAGAGCAGTGTTGGCTGTGGGTGAGGCTGCTGGCAGGGGTCACCCCTTCCCCTTCTCACCCCCGCCTCCCCAAGAAAAACATCACCCCTATAGGGACACATCAATAGCTAAGCCTTAATACCATGTAGCAGCATTGGAAGTTTTGATCTCTTTAAAAAGCAGCTGCTAAGAACCCAACTAGAAAAGCGACCGAATCTCATTGGTCTTCCCAGCTCGGTTACAGAGAGATGCAAAATAAAAAAAAAAAAAAAGCTGGATGGATTTTATTGAAAAAGGCAAGAAAAGCTGTATCTGAAGGACAAATGGAACAAAGATAAGGCTGACTAGGGAATACTTTGCTTGCCAGTTTCATTACACTTTACTTCTTTATGCAACCAACTACTGAAATTCAATATATGAGCAGGAATGGCACATGTTCATGTTATGACATAAACCCTTTTGATTTATGCAGTGTACTTATCTAGTATGGTCTGTTTTCCTTCTTATTTTTTTTTCTTCTTCTGTTTTATTTTCACATTTTTATTAGGTATCCTCTGTAATGAAATGTTGCTTCTACCCTTGCACCCCAGCACTGCCACAGCACTCCCACTATTCCACAGTCCACAACATCACACACATCCTTCAATTATACATAGCAGGCACAAACAACACTAACAAGCCTCGTACAATTTACCAGGCTCCCCAAAAATGACTGTACTTAAATATGTAATAGGAAATCGTGACCCTAACTGTAACCGGTGGCAGATTTCCCTACATTTCACCCAAAAAAAAGTACATGAGCATCGTCTCCTGTCCCCTGGTTAGCCCTGCTTTAAGGCAAAGTGTATCCTGAACCTGCAGAGAACCACATGGCTGTAGACATTCTCATCATAAGGGATAAAAAAATAAACTAAAATTGAGAGCCATTGTTTATTGAATATAAAACATTAAGCTTTAATAAGCTACTTTTCAACATAGCATGTTTTTGCTCCTTTTTTTTTTTGAATATAAAACATTAAGCTTTAATAAGCTACTTTTCAACATAGCATGTTTTTGATCCTTTTTTTTTGTGTGTGTGTGATTTCACCTTTCATTTTAGTGATTCAGAATTGATTTATGCAATTTTTAATTCATTTCATAGACTCAGAGAGATTTATGCAATTTTTAATTCATTTCATAGAATCAGAGAAATGGTTAGAGTTGGAAGGGACCTTAAAGATCATCGAGCTCCAACCCCCCTGCCCTGGGCAGGGACACCTCCCACTAAACCAGGTTGCTCAAAGCAAAGATTTAAAAATCTTTCCTATTTTTATTCCTATTCTTCATCCTATTTTATTCCATGGGTTTTCTGTTCAAGATTACTTCCAAACTGACATCGCTAGCATTAAAAACTTCTGATCCTGGCTGTGAACCTTCAAACTCAGATGAACTTCCCCAAACAGCCATATATATCCCACCATCACCTACGTTAACACGCACCATTCCTAGATAATCTGTATCTACAGAACAAACACTTCCTAGAGCACAGATCCTGTATCCATCTTCATCAACCTGAGTCAATGCTAATCTGAAAGGCTTACCAAAGGAAGAGATGAATGTTATTGCCTTGTTCATCAAATATTTGATCGTTCTAAAGGGACTGTCAAACAGAATGCCAATTAAGGTACGAGCTCGGGTTTATTATGAGCCATACCAAGATGAAAAAAAAAAAAAAAAGAAATAGTTTTACTAAGTCATCACTTATTTGTCAGGAAGAGTAATAACCTCTGGACCTCCTAACAACCTGGGTGCCAGACTGGAAGCAGAGGCAGGAAAAGTTCCTGGGGGCAATGCAATACCCCTGCGCGGAGACGGCCGCGAGTTTAGAGCTAGAACAACAAACACAAACAGGAGAAAACATACCCCAAATGTTAAAAAAAATTATATTAAATGCAATGAAACGGTTGCTGGGAAAAATTGTGGCTATTTCTGGATTGCATCACAGTTTATCCTTCCTTTTACTGATTTTTCAGAAAATCTCTTTTCGCGACAAGTTAGTTAGGAAGAAAACCGACTTGCTGCAGGATGGCAAAATGAAGTCTCTTTATTCAAATGCAGATAGGAAAAAAATGAGATGGCACATTGGGACTGAAAACACGGGAGGCAGTAAGAGATAGAGGCAAGAGTGGGAAGACGGTGGGGGAGCCAAGGCTAACATGACGACTGGAGAGAAAAAGGGCAACAGGGAGCACGGCGAGAAATGAGATCCTAGATTTAAACCTGGACAAAACCACGTAGCTCTGAAATATCTGAACTCTCTCAGATGGACAAAGGAATAACTAGAAGAGGAATATGAAAAAAAACCACAAACTCACCCTGTTATACCCACAGGAAAGGAAAATAATGTTTGCAGTACTGGCTTAGACAGAATGAAAGATTCAAGAGCATCATTAAAGAGCCAGAGGCTGGCTTCTAGGAGGGCAAGAAAGGCCAAAAACTTGGAAAGCAAGAGGTAGACACAAATTTTCTCCACCGTAAATGGGAAGGGATAAGACTCCATTAACAAGATTGCTTATCCTTGCCCAGCCCATCAATAGACCAGCTTCAAGAGAAAACTGTTGCGATTACCAGCAAATTCAGATTTGGAGCCTGAAATGACACAGCTTATGTTTCTTACAGGTAAAAAAAAAAAAAAAAAGAAAAAACATTTACATGACAATATTATTAGAGAACACCCTTCTGGATTCGCTTGCTTTACTCCACAGCGTTGCCAGAATTCAACCCAACAAACAAGATGTTCTTAGACATGTTTCTTTACTGGAATAAAAGCCGGTAACTACCAGTGATAAGCAATTTTTTCCAGCATTATTAAGCGGAATTATAAGCTGAAATAACACCTGACAGCACGAGTCCCTGTGAACGTGCCCATCCAGCAGCCACGCACGGGGCTGATGGACTCACGCAGGGCACCGGAGGATACGCTGGAGTGTATTTCCACTTAACACCTATTACAAGGGGAAGGAAGGGAAAGTTTATTATAATGTAACAGGCGACATAAATATATGTCAGTTGTCATTCCGTGTGACATCAACTTTCATTTTACCTCGGGTTATTATTTAAGTAATAAATCCTAACAAGGTGAGCTTTATCATCCCAGGGAGTGTATCCGGGAGGTAGAGACACAAGGTGATGGCAAGAACACTCAGAACATGATAATTCCTGACAGCTGCTGCTTGAGCACAAGTTAAATTGAACAGTTTATCTCAGCATAAAGATGTTATAAGGTTTTATGTTTAATTTAAAAAAATTAACATAAAACCCAGAGAAAGCAGAGTTAGGCAATCTTTCACAAACATGACATACTACAATCACAGTATAAGCTGGATTAGTACTTATTACCATGCTACTAGAGAATTAAGCTGTTTTTAGACCACCAAAGAGCTTTAAATTGCAACTTTTGTCTCTGTAAGAGAAACCTATATTTAAAACGTCTGCTAAATTCAAATTAACAGCTACATCATTAACTTACCATCTCACAAACCTCCCTCCCCCACCCTACATTTCAACGGCTATTATGGTATTCTTATCTAGACCTATCGACACTACAGCATATAATATATACAGTGCTCTTCAATAAATATATTGTGTGAATCCTCACAAAACCCGCGCTGAAGGTGACATTTTGAACGCCACTGCCCTAGCTCTCCTCTCGGAAATATCCCCCCAAAGTCTTTTTCTCTCTGTTAGAAATGACCTTCCCCCATAGAGCGTGGCCATCGCCCGGGCAGTGGCCCCACCGCCCTGGAGGCTGGCCAGGTTTCAGGGCCACCACCTCCAACAGGGCTCTTGGTCTTACACTAAGCTTGTGCTTAATCTGAATCGCTTAATAGTCCTTCTGACTTCTGAGGAACTACTTAGGTGAATTAAGTTAAGCGCGTGCTTAATTCATACCAACATTCACAGGAGGGAAGCTGAGCCTGCCCGCAGGTTCAGAGCCCCGGCGTGTCCAGAGAACAGCTCTGACCTTTGCTATTGCCTTTCCCCTTATTTTACGCCAAAGAACTGAAAAAAAATCAGTAAAATACAAAAGCCTTTATTTTTTAATGGCCAGCACACAAAACAACTAATATAAGTTTGCATTTATATCAAGCAAATTATAAAAGTAAAGGTGCTAAAGAATTTTTATTTTGCTTTATAAATCTTCTTTGTGTCATGTAACCACGATTTACTCTTTTACGGCACTGCCCTAAATCTTTCAATTAAATTCCCATGCAACTTAACTAAAAACACATTTTGCCTTCCCCTGGGGAGACCACACAGGGCATATTTATGTATCTATGGATGTGGAGGCTGAACTCTCCAATTCACCGGGCTTATAGCACAAAGTGAGTTTAAAACAGCACCTGATTTGGGCTGGAATATTCCCTCTGTCCGGGAGAAGCTCTGCCAGCACGAAGGACCGACAGCCACGGCCACCGTGATTTGGGCTGGAATATTCCCTCTGTCCGGCAGAAGCTCTGCCAGCACGAAGGACCGACGGCCACCGACACGGCCACCATTCACATCGCAGCAGAGGAAAAGAAGGACCACTTAGGGTATGATCCTGCACTGCAAATAAATTCCAAGGTCATAAATCTCTGCTGCAAAACAACTACATGCACTGTAAAATGAGTTTATGATTGAAGATCTGGCCATCCACAAAAAAGTGCTCCTCATTTTCCAGGTGCACTATTACGATAGTAATATCTAACTACGGAGTTAGATTTGGATATCGCTACAAATACAAACCTTTTAGGGGGATACAGGTCCTTTAGAAAACCCACCCTCTTCATTAGATGGCACTGACTGAATTGACATTCATTCATCCTTCAAGAGGAGAGCACAGAAGAAGCGGTTGTGCACCAATCTAGAACTAAAACCTTGAGGACTTGGAGCCATCAAATCCCACCATACTTCTCACAAGGCATTGATTGCTTTTTTCTCACTAAGCCCCAAATTATACTGTATATATAAAGTGCATTTCCTTTTCC